ATGTTCCTCAGGGATATTGGTCTAGTTTTCTTGTCCTGTCTTTCTTTGGCTTTCTATGAAGCCATTGCCAGTCTCAGAACAAATGAGAAAGTGCTCCCTCCTTTTATTAAGAGTTTGAGACGGATTGGTGTTAATTCTTCCTTAAATGTTTGGTAGAATTCCCCAGTGAAGCCGTCAGGTCCAGAGGTGTTCTGTTAGGAGGTTTTGGATTACTGACTCGATGATCTTACTGGTGATAAGACTGTGCAGGTTTTCTACTTCTTGAGTCAGTTTTGGAAATTTGTGTTTCTAGGAATTTGTGTGTCATCTAAGTTATCTAATGTATTGGCATACAATTGTTTGTCGTATTCTCTTGTGGTCTTTTGTTTCTGTATGGTCAATAGCTATGGCCTCACTTTGATTTCTGATTTTAGTTATTTGTGTTTCTTTTTTTGTCAGTGTAGCTAAGTTTGTCAATTTTGATGATCTTTTCAAAGAACCAACTCTTTGTTTCATTGATTTTTCTCTTACTGGTTTTCTGTTCACTATTTCATTTACCTCTGCTCTTCCTTTCTGCTAACCCTGGTCTTATTTTGTTGTCTAGTTCATTAGATATATAAGATTAAGTTATTGATTTGAGATATTTTAATCGATGTAATTGACATATAACATCATGTTCACTTCAGGTATACAACATGACGACTTGATATTTGTATATATTGCAAAATGGTCACTAATCAGTTGCCAACTATTTTTTCTTGTGATGAGTGAGACTTGCTCTTTTAATATTGGTGTTTACAGCTGTGACCCCCACCCCCTCCCCCAGACACTGCTTCTTTGGTGTGCTGTCTGAGCATTTGTTTTTTTTAAGATTTTATTGGGGAATTGGGGGAGGGGAACAGTGTTGGGGAATTGGGGAAGGGGACCGGCCAAGTTGTTGTTCGTCAGTCTTCGTTGTGGCAGGCACCACTTGCCATCTGGCTGCCTGTCTGCAGCTCGTGGCCTCTAAGCTCAAGGTGCTGTGTTCAATCTTAGTTGTGGGTGGGTGTAGCACCATCTATGTGGGAGTAGAACCAGCAGCCTTGTTGTTAAAAGCGCACGCTCCATCCACTGAGCCATCCGGGCGGCAGCTCAGCTTAAGGTGCCGAGTTCAGCCTTAGTTGTGGGCGGGCATAGCCCACCATCGAACAGGCAGTCTTGTTAGGAGCACGTTCTCACCAGCTGAGCCATCCTGCCACCTGTTGGCAGCTCAGCTTGGACGCATCACTGGCCCAGGTGGGAATTGACCCGGCAGCCCCGTTGCTCAGAGCCCGTGCTCTTAAGCTCTTAACCAACTGAACCACTCGGCCGGCCCCTCTGAGCATTTTGAATTTCCCTTGTGATTTCTTTTTTGGATCCACTGGTTGTGTTTTCACATTATGTGTGAATTTTCATTTTTCTTTTTTGATTTCTAGCTTCATTCCATGTGGTTAGAGAAAATACATTTTCAAATGTATGGAAACTTGTTTTATGGCCTAAGGTGGAGCGTGTGCTTCTCTGGCTGGACAGCGTGCTGGATCTAGTTGGTTTGCAGCACTATTCAAGTTCTCCTTGTCGACCTTCGGCCACATGTTCCATTTAAATCATCGGAAGTGGGGTGTTGACATCTCATTATGACCATTTTCTCTTTCTCCCTTCAACTCTATGGATATTTGCTTTATATATTTTGGAACCTGTTTGGTGCATATATGTCCATAATTGTTACATCTTGATCAATTGCTTTTTATCGATAAATAATGTTCTATGAATTTTTTAAAGTGCGCTTTGTCTGACAGTAGTAGAGCCACCCAGCTCTCTTTAGGTTACTGTTTGCGACATTTTTTCCATCCTTTTACTTGCAACTTATTTTAGTCTAAAGCGAGTATCTTACAGACAGGATGTAATTGGGTCTGTTTTTAATCTATCCTGCCAATCTCTGCTTTTGGACTGGAGAATAATCCATTTACTTTTTAAGTCATTACTGACAAGGACAGGCTTCTGTCATTTTGCTACTTGTTTTCTGTGTCTTAACACCATTTTTGTCCCTCCTTTTCTCGACTACTGCTCTCAAGTTTAGTTGATTTTTTGGTAGTATGCTGTATTGACTCCCTTCTCATTTCCTTTTGTGTATATTTTTTGGATGTTTTCTTAGGGGTTATGGTGACAGTGTTTTAACAAGTCAGGCTGAGGACCTCACGGTGTCTGTCGTGTGTGGAGCCCCATGCTGGGCGTGTTTCAGTGGCTTCTCCTGGACACGGAAGCTCCTGACGGGGGCAGCAATTTCAGTGACAGTGCTGAGGGCCACGGGCCAGCCTCAGGGCCTTCACTACTGTACCCATTTTACAGGTGAAGACACGGGCTGGAGGCCTTGAGAGACTGAAGGGACTTACCGGGTTCAGAGTGGTAGCTGAGTGGGGCGGGGCAGAGGGCTCAGGAGTCCTGGACCTGACGGAGTCGGGCTCCCACACGGTGCTGGACGGATGTGCGGGTCAGTGAGCGAGCTGTGCGGGAGGGACGTGCAGGGCCTGCCTCCCAGCACCCTGAGCCGCTGTGTTCCAGGTGCCGACTTCACCAACACCTTCTACCTGCTGAGCTCCTTCCCAGTGGGGCCGGAGCCCCCGGACCTGGCTGACTTCCTGACGGCGCTGACCGCACAGTGCGCCTCCCTGGAGGAGCTGAGGCTGGCCTTCCGACCCCAGATGGACCCCCGGTGGGTACGCGGGTCTTGCTTCCAGAAAGGGAGGAACATTTAGAACAGAGCACATGGGGGATGTGCCCTCAGAGAATGCTGGACAGTTAGCTGGGCACCTGGGGGGCCATGTGGCTGCTCCACTCCCAGGACTGGGGTGGTCCTGTCCCTTCTCCGTGGCACTGGGGCCCACTGGTCAGAGGACAGTGATGCTGACACTGGCATGGGTAGGACCAGGGGTCGGCAAACTTTTGAGATGGAAAAGCTGCCAGGGATCAGTAAATTGCGGCTCGCGAGCCGCAGGCTCTGAAGTAAAATTGAAAATGAAAATAAAAATATCATGGTTTCACTTACAAAATTTTTAAAGTATATTATTCACATAATGGTGATTATGTAAAAATATATTTATGGCTCGCAAATAATTTTTAAGTTGTTGTGAGGGACAGGATTGGCTCTTCCAGGGGTCGGCAAACTTTTGAGACGGAACGTACCCAAAGAGCCGCATGTGGCTCACGAGCCGCAGTTTGCCGAAACCCTGGGAAGGACGGACAGCACAGGCTGCAAGCCAGTGGTCTGCTCTGGGGCAGCGTCCCAGATCAGCTCTCAGGCCTACCTAGGAAGAGCCTGTGGGCCCTGAGGCGCCCACCAGGTCATGCTTTCTGCACCGTCACCCAGTGGGAGGAGCACGCATGGCTCAAGGGTGCAGCCCACGTTCAGGATAAGATCTGGGAGGTATGCTTTTAATAAACAAGCCAACAGACTGTGGTCCAAGAGGAATTTAGTGCAGCAGCGTGGAGAGTGGGCTGAGGCTCTCAGGACCCACTGAATGAAGCCAGTGCGACTGGGGCAGGGATGTCAGCGGCTGCCCTGACCCCCAGGTCCTTTTAGAAGTGGGGAAGGGTCAGCCCTGTGGTCATCGTGGGAGGTGACAGCAGGGACCCCCTCCCAAAGGAAGCTGGTGCTGGGCTGGGATGCAGACAGGCGCAAAGCAGCAGAGAGATGGGGCCCTACCACTGGTCTTGCTTTCTGGGGCCCGGGTGGTGCCACACCCTCCCCTACCCACCCACCCTTGGGGTCTGCCCAAGGCAGCCGGTAGCCTCTGCTTCTTGGGTGCAGCTGTGTCCCGTCAAGTGAGGGGCTGCTGGCAGGTGCCTGTGTGTGACGGGGCAGCTGAGGCCATTGCCGCTGCCTCCTCCATGCTGGGACAGTCGTCACTGTGGTGTCCGGCAGTCCCAGGCCACGGTCCACAGCCTCTTGGGCGCGCTGACACCCCCCGTCTTGCGCAGGCAGCTTTCAATGATGCTGATGCTGGCACAGTCAAACCCGCAGCTCTTCGCACTCATCGGCACCCAGGCCAACATCACGAAGGAGCTGGAGCGCGTGGAACAGCAGTCACGGCTGGAGCAGCTGAGCCCGGCTGAGCTGCTGAGCAGAAACAGGGGCCACTGGGCTGACTGGCTCCAGGAGTACAGGTGAGGCCAGCCCTGCCGTCCGCGAGGGGGCTGCAGATGACCCCCATCCAGGGAGCCCGTGGAAGCGGGGTGGGGGCTGCAGCTACTAGAGGGGAGGGCTTGTTTGTGCTTCCAGAGCCCGGCTGGAGAAGGACAGGAAAGGGGCCAGTGACGCTGCCGCCTGGCAGGCTGAGCGCGTGCGTGTCATGCACGCCAGCAACCCCAAGTACATCCTGCGGAACTACATCGCGCAGAACGCCATCGAGGCTGCCGAGAATGGAGACTTCTCAGAGGCAAGGACGCTTGTCCCTCTTGCCCCTGGGCCCCGCCCGCAGCAGGGGGTGGGTCAGGGAGGGGGCCGCCCATAACCTCTCCTGCTCCGTCCTCTGCAGGTACGGCGGGTGCTGAAGCTGCTGGAGGCCCCATACTGCATGGTGGGCGAGACCGCCGAGGCCCTGGAGGCTGCTGAACCCGAGGGGACCGGTGGGGCAGCAGGCAGGCGGCGCTCCTACAGCAGCAAGCCCCCGCTCTGGGCAGCGGAACTCTGTGTCACATGATCCTCGTAGCCGCCTTGGGGATCCAGCTGGAAGCCCCCAAGGCCCCATGTCTAGCCGAGTCCAGGAGGCAGTGCCCAGCCAGGGGACAACCCCGCAGCCCGCCTCTCCATGACGGCAGAGACATCCAGTCAGGACCTGACCTGTCTCTGCCTGACGCTGACTCGGCAGCCCGGCACCACGCTCAGCAGGCGGGCCGGGCGGCAGCCCCCGCCGCCCTGCCAGCCTAAGGAGGTGCTGCGTGGCCCCCGCTCGGGGGTGAGGCCCCTGAATAAAACACGCAGCAGCGTCCTGGCCCGAGTCTGTGTGGTCACTGCCTCAGCCCCGCCCGGCTCAGGCATCCTGGTAGTAGCTGTTGAAGTTGATACGCAGCAGGAAGTCCTCCAGGTGGGGCTGGTAGCCGCGGTTCACCAGCTTGGTCACCACTGGGAGGGCAGGGGGCCGGGTGAGCCGGCGGTTCGGGGCACCCTGTGGCCCGCCCAGCCCGTGGGGACAGCTCACCTTTGAAGAGGAAATGGGAGTAGTACTTGAAGGTGCTGTAGGACTGCTGCATGAGGGCAAAGCTGGGGTGCTCGGTCGGGCCCCAGGGCTGGGAGATGAGCTGGCTGCGGAACTTGAGCACGAGGCTGAAGACGCTGTGGATGATGTTCATGGCCGGCGCTGCCTTCTCCGTCAGCAGGCCCCTGGGGGCGAGGGCGCTGGTGGGTGCGCCTGGCCGCGCCCCCTCCGGCCTTCCCCCGCTCTCCCGGCCCACACCTTACCTGAACACGGCCTTGTGCAGGTACTCGGCATGGGCCCGCCGGATCTCCTCCAGGTCGCCCACTGCCGCCAGCCTGGCCCGGAACTCGCACCAGGTGACATGCAGGATCTGATTGGCGATGTAGCCCTGGATGACTTTCACGAAGTGCTGCATCTCGTGCTTGAACAGCTGCAGCTGACGGAGCTGCACGGAGCCGGCTGCGGGGCTCAGCAGGGCTGTGGGGAGCAGCGCGTCAGCCGCGGGGGCCGGGCTTGCGCCGCCGGGACCAGGACCGGGCCGCTGGGCCTCACCTGTGCGCTTCAGGTGGAAGCAGACGTCCTTGAGTGTCCACATCATGAGCTTCAGCTGCAGCAGGAACGAGAAGATGCCACCATACCTGCTCAGGCAGCTCTCCGTGATGACGATGTTGAGGGGCCAGTCCACCTGTGGGGGACCGGCTCAGCGCGCGCACTGACCAGCGCCCGCCAGCCCGGCCTCGGGCCCTGCTGACCTTGTACCTGAGCTCCAGGCAGCTCAGCACGTCAGGGGCGTTGGGCGCAAAGGCCTCAGGCAGGAACTTGAGGGCGAAGGACAGGTTGGCCGCGTGCGGGGAGTCCCCGTGCAGGCTGTACTGCAGCGCCTTGCTCAGCACCGCGTTCAGCGCCATCGGGTTCAGCAGCTCCCCGGGTGTCTGGCCGGCCCCGAGCTGAGGCAGAGAGGGCACAGGGTCCTAAGGTGTCCAGCCACCACCCTGCCCCGCCACGCCCTCTCCTTGCACAGGGCTCACCTTCTCGAAGAGCAGGTCACTGAGGGACTGGGCAAACTCGCCGTCCTCCATCAACAGGAAGTGGCGCAAGGCCTCGAAGTGGGACTCCAGGCGCAGCTCCACGAAGAAATAGTCCACGGCAGCCTTGTTCACCAACGAGACGCTGGTGGGAGGAGCCTGGAGTCAGGGGCCAGCCAGGCAGCTCGGCCGGGCGGGCCGGGTGGGCAGGAGGGCACTCACTGGGCAGCCAGCGGGGCAGTGACCGAGTGCTTCATGAGCACGGGCAGCGGCAGCAGCTCGCTGAGCTGCACGGCGGTCTCATCCGCGTTTGGCTGGCGGTGGGGGTCCTCAGGGAGGGCAACGGCCCCGGGCAGCCCGTGGTGTAGGAGGCGGGCGACTGGAGGCTCTGCTGCGGGGACGATGCGGCCCGTGGTTACACGGCAGGGGCACGCCAGCCCGGTCTCGCCCGCCCACCCGTGGCCACCCACTCACACATGGCCTCGTAGCTGTCCGGGTACTGCTCCAGGCGATACCTCCTCACCAGGCCTGCCAGGTAGGCCTGCTCCCCGTCCCCGCACGGGGCCGCCGCCGCCGCCTCCTCCCTGAGGCCCGGGCTGCTCTCGGCAGCTGCACTTTCCTAAGATGACCCAGCATCAAGACCCCTGCCCCTTCCCCTTGGGCCAGAGGAAGGGCACGGGGCCGACTTGCTGTCCGATCCTGCAGGCACGGGCCCTCACTGCCCAGCAAGGCCAGGAGGGGCGACCAGCAGAGCATGCTCCCCTGGCCCTGACCCCCCCAACTCCCTGACCTCAGCCGTTCTGACCTGTGAGCTGGAAGGCCAACTTGAAGAGCAGTCCTCTGTGTCCCCGCTCCTCCCTGGGCCTGAGTGTCACAAATAGGATGGGAACGGGTGTCAGGGCCAAGTGCCTGCTCTGGGGCAGCACCTCCGAGTCCCCAGGACAACTGACTTCCCACTCTTCTTCCCTCCCGTCCCCCTCCGGGCCCCACAGACACCACCAGTGACAGGACAGCTCTGGGGTCCTACTGACCTGGCTCTCCGGGGATGCTGTCTCCCAGAGCACCAGGTGCAGCCACAGCAGCGGGCGAGGCCTGCAGGCCACTCTCTTCCCCGGAGTCAGAGCCAGCCATCTCAGTGCAGGAGCTATCTGAGGCCAGCTCTGCGGGCAGCTGTGGCGCACGTTCCCAAGCGGGGCTCTGTGCTCCCAGGCTGATGCCAGACTGGGACACGTGGTCAGTGGGGCTCTGGTGGGACCTGGGCGTATCAGGCTGGGCTTCCTCTGGGAGCGCCCCCAGTATCACCTGGGACTCAGACACGTGCCCGTGGACATTCCACCGTGGCCGGGAGGGCGCCACGTCCCACACGTTCTCCCCTACCCTGATGCTGGCGTCAGACACGTGCCCGTGGACGTTCCACCGTGGCCGGGAGGGCGCCACGTCCCACACGTTCTCCCCTACCCTGATGCTGGCGTCAGACACGTGCCCGTGGACGTTCCACCGTGGCCGGGAGGGCGCCACGTCCCACACGTTCTCCCCTACCCTGATGCTGGCGTCAGACACGTGCCCGTGGACGTTCCACCGTGGCCGGGAGGGCGCCACGTCCCACACGTTCTCCCCTACCCTGATGCTGGCGTCAGACACGTGCCCGTGGACGTTCCACCGTGGCCGGGAGGGCGCCACGTCCCACACGTTCTCCCCTACCCTGATGCTGGCGTCAGACACGTGCCCGTGGACGTTCCACCGTGGCCGGGAGGGCGCCATTCCGGAAGCGTAACTCTCTGTGAGAACACCAGCCTCTGACACATGCCCAAGGAGCTCCCCAACGGCCGGGCTGCTCCCCTCCTCGGGGGGGTTGTTCCTGGGAGGGTGTGGGTAAGGCAGAGACACCTGCCCCTCTGGGACACATGTGTCCAGCTGCACATGAACATTCTCACACAGCTGCACCTCCTCACAGCCCACGCCGCCTCCTACAGTCTGGAGAGACCCTGGGGAAGCTGAGGTGACCACAGCTGGCCTCAAGATGGTTCTGAAATCGTACTCCTGTGGCCCAGAGGGCCCTGTGCCCGATGCAGATGGAGCTGAGGGGTGCAAGGCCGAGCCGATGGTCTGTAGCGCCTCCGCCAGGGCAGGGGCCACACCGGTGAGCACAGGCTGCTCAGCCCCCTGGCCCATGGGCAGGAAGTCCTGGATGCTGAGGCCTGCAGAGAACGGCCCCGACCCCTCTGCCTGCCCTGGGTCACAGGCCCCCGCTGAAGGCTCCAGAGGCTGTGGCGCCCACATGCCTGGCCTGCTCGGGCCATCCCGGGAAGCCTCCTGTTGCTCTGCACACCCAGAATCACACCTGCCGCCTCCATCTGGGAGCTCGGGGCCTGGAGACGGGTCCTGAAACACAGTGCACGGTGGTGCCTCAGTTCCCTGGATCTGTCCCCAAGTTCAGTTCTACAACCAGCACCGGAACCCACTGAGCGGACACAGGCCAGGCCGGGCGCCCACGGTGCTCCCTGGCAGTGCAGGCCTGGGCCCCCACCTCAGCCTCCCAGTCACGCCCTGGGTGCTGCCCCAGCCCCACCTGGGAACGTGCACTCGGGAGGATGGCCGGCGGCTCCAGGGACGTCCCCTCCGACACGGCCTTCAGCATGGCCTGAAATGCAATGAGCAGAGTTGCAGCCAGAGCCACAGCCTCCGTGCCCCACCGCCCAACCACAGCGGCGAGGTGAGGCTTATGCTTTGTCAGCAGCCTGGGCCTCCCAGCGCTCGGCACTGTGGTCTGAAGGCGCCAGGCCCTTCCCAGCCAGGACACCTCCGAGCAGCTGCTGAGTTACCAATGGGCCCCGAGAAGGACGCACAGGTCTGCGTGCAGTGTCCGGGGTTCTGGGAGCCCCGCAGGCCAGGAACCACAGCGGTACCTGAATGCGCTCCTGATCTTCTAAGAGAAAGCGAAGCCGTGCGCCCGCCAGTCTGTGCCTCTGGATTTTCCATAGCGCCTTCTGCTCCCGACGAGCTGCCTCTGCAGACAACTTGCTATAACGGTCAACCAGCGCCTGCCTGAAGCCACGCCGAGAGGACCGATCACCAGGCACCCGACACTACCCAGCTGGCTCCCCACGGGCTGGGATGGCTCTCCATGGCAGAGGCCCCGGAGGGCAGTCTGCGCAGGCCACCAGCTGGTCCTCTGGAACCCCCACAGCCACTGCAGGGGCCTCGCCAGGCAGGTCATACTGCCCACCTGACTGGGAGCCCCTGGGGAGCAGGCGCCCAGCCGGACCTTAGCACACGTCTGCTGAATCACTGCCAGCGTGAGCCCCCACACAGCCTGAGGCCCAGGCCCTCCAGGGGCGATGCCTCACTTCCAGAGCTGACGGGAGACCCCTCCCCACTCTGGGGAAAGCCCAAAGAACTGACGACTGACACAAATGTTTCCTTTACTTAATTCAGAGCCAGTCCAGCATGTTTCTCTCACTGACTTTACTCCACTCGCCAGCACGGAGCTGGGTTCAAACCTGGACTGGCCTCCAAAGGGCAGGACACTGCCCCCACAGCCCGTTGCCTCCATGTGTGAACGGAAAATAACACCTACCTATGTGCACACACCACACACACGGACACACAGACGTGTGCATCTATACACATAAAGACGTGCATGAAGACAGCATGATGCTCACACGGACACACACACATAGACGTGTGCACACATCACTGGCTCCAGGTCGCAGCTCCATGAACAGTACCTGAAGTCAGGACAACTGAGACCCCAAAGCCATGAGCAGGAAGGGGCAGCCCCTCCCACAAAGGCTCCCCTGAGTCGCCAGCTCTGCTCCCAGCTTAAGGAAAATGCAGGGGAGGGCGGCACAAGCTCGTTGCCGTAGGGAGACGACTCTCAGGTGCTGTGCTAGACAAACGCCCGTCTCTGTCAGGCCAGTAATGGGTTTCAAATTAAGTCAGCAGGAGCTGTCTCACTTAAAGGACAGACAGGCACAGCAGTGGGATAGGCCGTGCACGGACCTGCCTGGACTCCAGGCCACACCCACCAAGCCCACGCAGACAGAGACGACGATTTGAAAATTTCCAAAGTAAAAAGTACCATGACGGTCACTAAGTTTGGCCGCCCTTGGGGTCAGCCTGAGTGACCGCTCTGCCCGCAGCCACCCTACCTCGCCTTCCGCTCCAACTGTTCCTCCAGGGCCCTCAGCCTCTGCTCCCTGTCACGAAGCTCACGGGCGTAGCTGAAGTCGTCATCCAGCTCCTCCCGCCTGGCCGCCCGGCGTCGCTGCACAACACACCCCACAGCAGCCTCGCTGGTTAGGCTGACCCCCGAGTGGCCGTGCCCCGCCAGGGCCAGCAGCCCACCCACCTCCTGGTGCTTCACAAACTGCTCCTTCAGCTTCTGAAACTGCTCTCGCTTCCGGGCATCCAAGGCCATCCGCTCAGACATCTGCCGATCTGCGCAGGGACAAGGTGCCATTGTGAGGGACCCGCAGGCAGCCCCAGAGCGAGTCACAGGGAGGACCCGAGCCACACGCACCGCTCAGTGCACTCAGCACCCGGGACGCCGCTTCGCGGGCGTGGACGATTAACTCTTGTTTCGCGATTTCCATCCGTAATTCCTGGAAAAGACCATCCGTGAGGTACACTTCTAACCGTGCCCTCCCCTGGGGTGGGTGGGGGCAGCTGCTCAGACCCCAGCGGGCTCCTTGGAACAGGGCCAAGTCATGAGGGTGCGACACCCCAGTTTCAGCAGTGACAAAGTGGGGTTCACCCTGCAGGGGCCCGGGGCTCCGGGAGGGACGTCCCTGTGTGGAGACCCAGTGCCAGGACAGAAGGCAGGGCCCCAGCCCTAGGCGTTCCCACCAGACACTGCCTAGAGTAGGGACCACACCAGGCAGCACAAGCGCCCACGCCACACCCCCAGCGCCTCTCGGAGGGGAGGGGGTGTGAGGGAAGGCTGGGGCCCTGGGCGTCACACCTTCTCCTCTTTGCTGATGGAACTGTGGCGCGCCACCCTCTCCATGCGCCCCACGTAGATGGCGCAGTCCTTCTCTATCTCCTTCAACTCCTCAAGCGAGAAGACCACTGAGATCCGCGGCACAGGGACATCGGACCAGCAGAGGTAATGCTGCCAAGGAGGGAGAGCACGCGTGAGTCGGGGACACGCAGCCCCACACCCACGCGGCTTCCACGCTTCCGGTGACTCGTGTGGACAGTTCATTCCTCGACCAAGGACATCCTCCATGGCTCCAAGGACACCAGGCAGGCTGCGTGGGGTCTCCGCCCCGGCCAAGGCTCCCTGTGGCAGAGGCCGGGCCTGACTCCAGAAGGGTCTTCAGAAAGGGCTGCGGAGACCTGGGGACCTGCTGCGCCTCTCGCTGCGAGGAGCGCCAGCCACTGACAGGTCGGCCCAGAGAGGACAGACTGGACGCCTGCTCCACGCTGCCCTGGGAACTCTGCCCCCGAAGCACCCCCACCCCGTCCAGTCTCCAGCAGCTCTCACCTGCGCGGGACTGTGCCTGTCCTGGCCACTCCAGGCTGTCCCCAGCCCAGCACTGAAGGGACCCTGTTAGCCGCAGGCTGAGCCTGGCCTCTCCTCGGCCCTGACTCGCTGGCCAGCTGGGCCCCTGTTCAGGCCTCCACCCACTGTTCCTGCTGCCTGGAACCCCCAGGTCCACACAGCCGCCCGCCAGCCTCTCTGCTCAGACATCAGACAGCACCTCCCTGCAAAGGCTGCCCATCCATCCACACCCCACCGCTGCTGCCTGGGCCACGTGGACGCCAGTCAGGGCTCAGCCTAAGCCTCCACTCCAGAACCCAGCCAGCCCACGGGCTGTGGACACCACCCCCTAAACCAGCCTGGGTCCACCTTCCTGCAGACGCAGCCCGGCCCCGTCCCCCTGGGGCGTTTCCTGCGCAGAGGAGGGAGGGACGGAGGGAGGGTCCACTGCCCCTCGGCCCCGGAAACACCTTCGCTTTTCCTGCCACTTCTGAAAGGATGCCCAGAAACAGGGGCCTCTCGTGAAACTCGCAGGACACCACGATCCCCATTCCAACACGGCTGACCCAGAGCTAAGGACAGGTGGCCAGGCCCAAGGGGCACAAAGGATGACAGATCTGGACCTCGGCTCCCAGAGGCCAGAAGGGATAAGGGACAGGGCTGGGGGCTGCTCACCCGGGGGCAGCAGAGCTTCAGCAGGTTGACGGTCTTGCCGCAAACATACATGTCCTGAGCGACGTGCTTCAAGAATGCGGGCACACAGTCCTCTACCTCCTTGGAGAGGAGCACGTAGCCGTGGGTCCAGTACGCCTTATCTAATGTGGGACAGGTCACAGCTGGCCTGCGTCCGGAAACCGGCCTGACCCACCTGATGGTGCAGAGGCCCAGCCCAGCAGCCAGTTGCCACCTACCTCTGAAGCCCAGGTACTCATGGTTCACCTGGATCATGAACTCGCCATACACGTCTCTGAAGACCCCACTGTACACCCAGTCGTGGATGAACCTGCCAGGGTGGGCGGGACAGCAGTGAGGTGGGCATGGTGGGCGTCAGGGTAAGCTGGTCTGCCCAGGGGCCTGCAGTCCAAGCCCCCGTTCTGCCCTCCCCTCCCCATCTGTGGCCCTGCTGGCTGCAGGTGTCTGACCAAGAGATGCGCTCTAACAGCTGCTTGGACTGCATGTGGCCCCGCCCCTGACTCAGTGGCGCAGGCCCCCCCCCACCTCGTGTAGGGCTCGCAGCTGGTCTTGAGCAGAGACAGCAGCACTGGGTAGTGCTCGTTGCTGCAGTTGTCCAGGGCCTCCTGGTACAGGTAGGAAAGCAGCTTCACTCCCTGGAGACAGAAAGGGGAGGGGCTCAAGCATGCACTGCGCACGACAGCCCCACCCCGTGGCCACGCCCAGCGTCTCCCCCTTTCCTGGAGCCTGCCAGGCCAACTCGCAGCAAGAATGCAGAACTCACGGTGGGGAACGCAGCCCTGGGCTCTCCTCCGCAGGTGCCCACACCACAGAGCTCGGCCAGGTACCTAGACACAGAGACCAGGTGAGAGCAGGTGAGAGCAGGTGAGCAGGTGCTCAGAGCCCCAAGCTAGGTGAGAGCAGGTACTCGGAGCCCCCAGGCCCGAATGAGAGCAGGTGAGAACGTGTCCCAGGCCCTTCCCTACCTATCTTTGTGCTCCGGCTCTCAAACCACCTGCACATCCGGGACCTCAGAGCTCAGCTTCCTGCTGGGCCCCTCCCTGGGTGCTCCGTGCATCCCCACCTTCCCAGGCTCAGCCAAGACTCCAGAGCGCTGCGAGTATGTGACCCTTCCCCCACACCTGTGGCTTTACCTTGAGACCCCTCCTGTACCCGCACCGCCTCACCCAAGTGGCCACCTCCTCTGGTCAGGATGACAGCCAAGCTCCCTCTTGGGGGCTTGCCCTCTCCACCCTGATGTGCGTCCTGCACAGCAGCCCAGCACCCACCCCACCCCACCCCGCACTCTCCAGACTCCCCCAGGCTCCGCCGCCCTCACTGAGCCCCACCTCCAGCCCTCGGGGCCCCTCTGTCTGGAAGGCCTCCTCTCCCACGGAACTCACCTCCCAGGGCCCCCAGCTCCTCACTATCCCTTCTCCAGATGGCACCTGCTGACAGACACTCGGCCTGGGCTAACCAACTGGCTCCTGAGTACCGTGTGCCCTTTAGCGGGGAGCCCCCAACCCCAGCCAGGGCCTGCCATGGTAGGCCTCCAGCAGACCCGCACACAGCACCCAGTACCTGGTGCGCTCAGGTGGAACAGGGGCTGTCCCGACACCTACCAGGAGGGCTGTCCTCACAGGCACCCACGCCGGCCCCCCACACAGCCCCCCACGCTTGGCCGCCACGCTTGGCTCACCTGAGCTGCCGGCCCAGCTTCTTGAAGAGAAAGCCGATGGCGAGGAGGCTCAGAGTGGGTGGCGTGGCGAGGACGCAAGCCCGGTAATACTGCAAGTACCTCCTCAGGCCGCTGGTGAAGGCCTGTTGGGCAAGGGGGCTGAGAGGAGGGCGGCTGGGCCCACGGACACGCCGTGGAGCTCAGGACTTGAAGGGTGCTAGGGAAAAGGGCTTGGCTTCCACCCCAACCCTCGGGCTCCATTTTCCAGGGAATGGGCAGACACCCCAGCCAACTGGACGCAAGGACCCCGGGCCCACAGCAGATCTTGTCCTGCGGTCAGGGCCAGACGCTCCAGGAATCTGGAACCAGTGGGCCCCAGGTGGGATTCTGAAAAGGGTGGCCGGGCGCTGCACACAGATGCTAGCTCTGAGGGGGTCTCCGGCTGCTCAGACCACCAGGGTCTCAGTGACACACGCGTCCTGGGCGGCCCCAGCTCAGTTCACGTCTTTATAGGACATCTGCAGGAAACGCTCCAGAACCAACGTCTGTCCACACACCAGCAAGGAAACAGCTGTCCTGCCCTCAAGTCCCAGGCGACTGACGGCTTAGCCCTGCCTTCCTCAGTTCCCTTCTGCCCTTCCTGGCCCGCTCTGAGCAGGTCTCCGTGGGCCCGGTCTACACTGTCTAAAACTGCCCGTCATCATGTCACCCCGACTACTGGGCTACAGTGCCGAACAGTGAAGGGACTGCGCAGCCCGGCCCCCGCTGCGCTTGGCACCCTGCCTTCTCCCCCACCCCTCCCAACGCCCGTCCTTCAGTGCTGCCAAATGTCCTGCTCAGCGTGGATGCCTGTCCCTCCCACGAGGCTACGCCCACAGGGACGATGCTGAGCATGGGGCCACCTGGAGGGCTTTCAAGGGAGACCTGGTCCAGCCCAGCTCCCGGAACCTCAACTCACCAAATAAGGGAGACCCGCTATGTCAGTAGCTGCTGGGGACCCGGTGGGGGACAGCAGCGTGTGCCCACCCCACACCACCTGTGGGCTACACCTGCCTCCCACTATCCCCTGGCCCCAGCGTGTCTGCCCAGGTTCCCGGTGAAGTGAGGATAAGGTAAAACACCCCGTCCCTGAAGAGAAGCCATCGGTGTGAGACGTTACACGGCAACAGGTTTTCCGTGCGAGGATCTGGGTGGGACCTCTGAGGCCCTCCCAGACGTGTGTGCAGTTCTCAGCAAGGTCTGTGACAGTCTCGCGAGAGGCTGCGGGCCCCACCTGGAACACGAGGCCCTTGCTGCACGAGGAGTCCAGCACAGGCTGCAGGGAGAAGTGGCTCAGGCGTGTGTAGTAGGTCCCGCATTCGGCCACCTCCGAGAGGAGGCTGCTGATGCTCTCGGGGGACGTTCCCGACACATGGATGCCCCGCTTCACCACGAAGGCCTGAGTCGCCTGGACAGGGTGGAGGAGAGGTCACTGAGGCCAGTATCCTGAACCACCCCCCACGCACCACCCCCTACAGCACTGCCCCGAGCGCCCAACCCAAGACACACAGACAGAAGTTCCAAAAGCAAAAAGCAGACGGCCACAGAGCACACCCAGCGGTCCCACCCACCCCTAGTACTACAAACACACAGGAACAAGGTGTGGTTTTTCACTGACCACACTGAAGAACACGTTTAAAATGTCAAGCCATCGATGGAAAAGGGTGCAGGAGGACAGTGCATTCTGCACTCCATGAGCTGCACAGGGAACACCTGCTTGGGGGCAGAAGCTTCAAACAAGTGCCATCGGACCTGACAACAGACTCCTAGGGATGAGCTGCAAGGAAACCGTGGAGGATGCACACGGGCATCTGCCACGGCACGTTCCCCACGACACTGTTTATAACCACAGAGAACAAGGACACCTGAGACGGCTGGCGACAACCCAAACTCGGGGACACAGTGGCAGCAGTGTTCACAGGAAAATTTATAGCCGTAAGTGCCTAAGTAAGATGAAGAAAGGTCTCAAATCAGTATCTGCACTGCACACCTTAAGGAGCTAGAAAAAGAAGTGAACTAAACCCAAAGCAGAAGAAAGGAAATAACAAAAATGAAAGCAGGGGGGCCGGCCGAGTGGCTCAGCTGGTTAAGAGCTCGCTCAAGAGTTTGAGCTCTGAGCAACAGCGGTTTGAGTCCAGCCCGAGCTGAGCAGCCGCTGAGCTGCTAACAGGTAGCAGGATGGCTCAGCTAAAAAAAATAAAAAATAAAATAAAAATGAAAGCAGGCATACATAAAACAGAGACTAGAAACAATAAAGAGAATATAAAACCAAAAGACGGTTCTTTGACAAATCTTTAACAGGACTGACTAAGAAAAAAAGATAATTAGTGGGTTGTTGGAAAAGTCATGACGCATTTTTCCAATGAAAAACGTAGAAAAAATACATCATGACTTTTCTGACAGCCCAATAAAAACAAAAACAACAAAAAAATGAGAGAAGACTCAAAGTACTAAATCAGATATGATGTGGGCATCACTACCAGCTTTACAGAAATAAAAAGGATTGTAAGAAAATACCAAGAACAAGGGTTTGCCAACAAATTAGATAACCTAGATGAAATGGACAAATTCCTAGGAACACATAAAGTTGCAAAGCTGACTCAAGAAGAAACAGAAAACCTAAATAGACCTGTAACAAGGACACTGACTTGGTAACCAAAGCCCTCCTGTAGGGCAAGTGCCTGACACTAAGCTAGACATCCATTCGGAATGAACACATCCCAGCTGCACGACGCAGCTGCTAGTAAAACACCGAGATGAGGAGCCAGGCGCCCCACCCAGGAAGCTCCCCTTGTGGGAACCCGGGGTAACCTAGATAACTGACCCTTGAGGAACCCCAGTTCTCCTGTCCTGTGCCCTAATTCCCACGCTTATGTTTTAAATTCACCGACAGAGTGAACCCAGAAAACCCTAGGCACCCCCACCCTTGACCCAAATAAAGGCAGAGCCCCACATCTCTGCCCACCTCCCTCTCCCCGGGACCTCACTGGGTATTCCCATTCATGATATGTCCCCTCCAACACCTGTGAGAAATGAATTTTGTTCTTCCAAGTTCCCTGCTGGTTTCCTACTGAGGCGCGTCCTCCAATCATAAGAACCACAAGTGCCGGTGCGGGGTAAGTCTGGGGGGGCTTGCCACACATAAATACAGCTGAGTGACGCCTCAGGCATTCCCAGCCAATAGCACCACTATCGACAGGCTGGGACCCACACACCACCTCCCGATAGGTTAACATGATAAATGTTATGTGTATTTTGCTACAATTTAAAGAAAACAAAAGTAACAAAGACTTCTCTCAACAAATAAAACCCCAGAACCAGATGGCTTCACTGGTGAATTCTGCCAAACAATTGAAGAACTAACACCGATTGTTCTCAAACTCTTCCAAAAATTGAAGAGGAGGGCACACTTCCTAATTCTAAGAGGCCAGTATAGTCCTGATTCCAAAGAAGACAAATACATCACAGGGAAGAAAACTGAAGGCCAGTACCCCTTATGAACACAGATGCAAAAGTCCTCGATAAAATACTAACAAGCCGAATCCAGTAGCATGTTAATATGATTACGCGCCACGACCAAGTGGGTTTAATCTCAGGAATCCAGGGGTGGCTGAACATACAAAAACCAATCAATGTAATAAACCACATTAATAGAATGAAGAAAAACATATGGTTACCTGAAGCAATGCCCCAAACATGCATTTGACAAAATCCAACACCCTTGCACAATAAAACGCTCAATAAACTAGGACTAGAAGGGAACCTCCTCAACATGATAAAGGCCGGGTATGAAACACCCACAGCTAAGGTCACAGTCAACGCTGAAAGACTGAAAGCCCTTCCCCTAGGATCAGGAACGAGACAAGGATGCCTCTCTCACCACTTCTGTTCAGATAGTACTGGAAGTCTCAGCTTCCATGAAGCAAGAAATGAGGCAAGAAAAAGAAATAAAAGCATCCAAGTTGGAAAGGAAGAAGTAGAATTATCTATCTGCAGATGGCATGATCTTATATACAGAAAGCCCCAAAGAAGCCACAATCAACACACAAAAATCAGTTCTATTTTTATATACTAGCAATAAAAAAATCTGAAAAGGAAATTAAGAAAACAATTCCATTTCAATAGCAATGTAAGAATAAAATACTTAGAGATAAATTTAACTAAGGAGGCCAAAGGCTTGCTACAGTGAATGCTGTAAAACATTGCTGAAACAAATTAAAAACCTAAATAAATGGAAAGACATCCCATGTTCACAGACTGAAATATTTACTATTGTTAAGACGACAATACCACCTAATACAAAGTGGTCTAGATTCAATGCAATCCCCACCCATATCCCAATGGTGTTTTCTGCAGAAATAAACCTATTCTAAAACTCATGTGGAAATGCAAGGGGCCTTAATAACCAAAACAATCTTAAAAAAGAAAAAAGCTGGGGAACTCCCACTTCCCGATTTCAGAACTTACTATAAAGCTACGGTGATCAAAACTGTGTGGTACTGACATGAGAACAGACATACAGATCAATGGAACAAAACAGAGAACTAAGGAATAAACGCTCACATACGTGAACAATCATTTTTCCTACAAGGGTGCCAAGACCATTTCATGGGAAAAGACGTCTTTTCAACAAATGGTGCTGGGAAAACTGTATATCTAATGCAAAAGAATGAAGTTAAACCCTTTCCTTAAACCACATACAAAAATTAACTCAAAATAGACCGAACATTTAAATGTAAGAGCTAAAATTGTGAAAGTCTTAGAAGAAAACAGACATATCATGACCTTGGAGTTGGCAATTTCTTAAAAAGGACACCAAAGATAAAGGCAACAAAAAATAAGACTTTGTGCTTCAAAGGAAACTATCAAGAGAGTGAAGACACCTAGAAAATGGGAGAAAATATTTGCAAATCATAAATCAGACAAGGGGTTAATAAGCAAAATGTCTAAAGAACTCCCACAACTCAACAACCCAACTGAAAAATATGCAAAGGCCTCAGACAGACATTTCTCAAAGGAGATACTCAGATGGCCAATGAGCCCATGATAAAACGGTCAGTACCATCAGTCATTAGGGAAATGCACACCGAAGCTACAATGAGACAGCACTTGTCACCTACTGGGATGGCTGTTTAATTAACCAAAAATCCTGAAAACAAGTGTTAGTGAGGGCGTGGAACCCTGGTATGTTGCTGGAGAGAATGTAGAATGGTGCAGTTGCTGTGGAAAACCAAGTTTCTTGGTTCCTCAAACAGGTAAGCACAGAGCTGCCGCAGGACCCAGCAATCCACTCCTGTTATTCACTCCGAGGAACTTAAAGCAGGACTCAAACGGCTGCTTGTCCACCCATATTCCCAGAGCACGGTTCACAGCAGCCAACAGGTGGACACAACCCCGTGCCCACCGATGGACGTACAGATGGACACACACACAATGTGGTCTCTGCATACAGGAAGTGTCATCATTCAGTCATTCAGCCTCAAAAGCAGGAAGTTCTACACCTGCTATTAATACAACATGGATGGACCGGGAGGACGCCATGCTCAGCGAGGTAAGCCAGTCACAGAAGGACAAGTACTGTTGGTACCAATTCTATGAGGACCTCGGGCCATCAGATTCACAGAGAGTAGACGGTGGTGCCAGGGGCTGCGGGAGGGTGTGGGGAGTGAGTGTCTAATGGGGACAGTTTGGGGACATGGGGAGTTTTGGAACTAGACAGTACTGATGGTTGCACACCAGTGGGAGTGTAACTAACACCCCTGACCTGTACACTGCAACCTGGTCAAGGTGGTACGTTTTGAGTTGTATGACAACAGAACACCCCGAGGCCATGACACGTTTTAGAACAACCTGCAGAGGGCGGTCTTCGGCTCCAGCAGCACCTGCGGAGCGAGCCGGGTCCGGGCCAGCCCCAGGCTGTGCTCCCAGCACACACTCAGGTGTGCAGGATTACGTAAGACGGGGGACAGGCTGGGCACGCACACGAGAAAGGAGGCAGCGGGATGTGTACCAAAGGCTTCATTTTGTGACCAGCCCCTTGCATGAGCGCCCAGCGAGAGGCAAAGGCTGGATCAGCTGCAGCTCCGGCCACAGTGAGCAGGCCCCACCCTGCTGGCCAGGGCACATGTCCACAGCCGTGAGAAAAGCCAGCAGTCGCCTCACCGGCGGCCGTTCCTGCACATCGGTGCTCCTGCAGTGGTCTGCCTGGTCCTTGCCCAGGACGTGGCAGGGGAAGGGCATGGACACGGTGGGCCTGTTTCTGTTGTTCAGCCGACAGCGACAAATGTCTTACGTTCATTCAGTTTGTCAAAGGGCGTTAATAAATTAATAGTTTTTAGAGCCGAAATGAGAACACAGCCACTGTAGTCACCGGCAGGCCTCACCCCGCCCTGCATTGGGGCTCGCGGCTGAGGCCACCCCCTCATGCCCTGGACCGCGCACGTCCTACCCTGTGACGGGCCCGGAGTGCCGCAAGTGTCCTTACCTGGCAGAGGGGGAATGTGGAGGACACGACCCCAATCAGCACGTTCAGCGCGTCCTTCACCAGCTCATGCTCCTTCACCAGGACAGGCCGCGCAGCCTGCGGGAGGGCCCCGGCCAGCACTTGCAGCTCCCCGACACGGAGCCTGCAGAACCTGTCAAAGGCCTCCCTTCCCGCCTCGGTGAGGTAGGGCTCCTCTCTGTGGCCAGGGGCGCTGTGTAAGGGACAAAGTCACAGGCAACTGAGCTATGGAACAACAGGCAGGAGGGAGCGACTCAAAACAATAACACGCCTCTGAAACGCCATCAGGCATGAGTCACAAGCGAGCAGCAGCCCCATGGCGGGCATCTGGCAGGCTCAGGCTGACCGCAGCCAGCCTCCGGGACAAGTCCCAGCGGAAGCTGCAGCAGATGTCCCCACTGCCCAGCACCCAGAGCGCACACTGCAGGCCTCAAGGGGACCACTCCCCACAACGTGCCTTCATGTTAAAAGCAAGCACAAGGTCTGCACACCCACGAGCACAGCATATTCATAGCTTCCCAAGGGTGGGAGCACCCCAAGTGTGGGTTAGAAAACCGTGCTCCATCCCCACACGCAATGTCATTCAGCTTTAAAAGGAAGGACACTCTGACATGTGCATGGACCTGAAGGATGTCACATTCAGTGACATTAGCCAGTCCAAGGGGACAAGTACTTTGTGACCACACCTATGTGAGGTCCCCACCCTAACCAGATCCACTGAGGCAAAAAGTAGGTGGTGCCAGGGGCTGGGGAGGGGTGGGAGTGAGTGTTTGATGGGGACGGAGTCTCACTGGGGAGGATGACAAAGTTCTGGAGATGGTAGTGGTGACAGCTGCACAGCAGTGTGAATGCACTTAGTGCCACTGAAACTGTGCACCTACAAATGGTGAAAATGGTAAATTTTATGTTACTATATTTTACCCTGTGATTCAGAGCCGAGGGAGAACAGCCCATAAAGGAAATACCAAATTCACACTTGTCTCCGCAGAGAACTCAGCCCTTCAGATAACGAAACCGCGTTCCCCGAGTGCGGGACAGGCCCGGAGCACCAGCCGGTGGCTCCCTGCACACCGGCACTGGCTCTCGGGGGAAGCACAGGGGAGGGGTCCTCCAGAGGGCTGTGGGAGGACAGGTCTCTCTGCTTCCGGCGGGAAAGCCGCTTCCTCAGCTGCCCACTGGCCAGCGCTCACCGCAGAAAACCAGCAGGAGGCTGGGATTTAAACTGACACAAGGTCAAAAAATTCACCAAGTGAACATGAGCCTCAGGGGGCAGGGGCAGTGGGATCAGGCTGAGACCGGAACAGGCAGAGGAGGAGCCCTGGGGGTCGTCCTGCAGAAGCCACCCATGCTTGTGCTGCCAGGTACAATCCTCACAGGAAACACCCAAGCACATGAAGTGCCTGAGGTGAAGAGAAAGCTGGAAAGCAGTCATGTCTTCTGAACAGTGGCCTGAGAAACAGCCTAGAAAAGTAGTGTCAGCTAAAGGTCATCGCTGCTAGCTCAACGCCAACAGAGGTCCCCAGCTTGGGGTAGGGGAGGGAAGACTCAGCTCAATGGTGAAACATCTGGACTGTGAGCCATTATGATCCAACAGCCCAGTCCAGCGTTGCTTCTTCACTCCAGCCCGCCAGACAGCCCCACTCTGGCTGTGTTTGTAACACTCTCTCCTGTCTTTGGTGGGAAAGTGCGCTTCCGAAGCCAGAAGGGGAATTGACTTATATAGACAGAAGTCCCCGCCCCTGGTCCCGGATTGCTCTGTTCTCATGCAAATGAGGACTCCAAATCCTCAGTTTGATTGGTCTAAAAAGCACTGTCCTGACTGATCAGAATAGAGCCGCTCTGATTGGTCGGTGAAGATGCTAATGCAGGATATAGCTGAGCAGCTACGATTGGCCGGGGAAGGTCTCAGTCCTATTAGCTGTAATGCCATTCCAGGAACTCTTTGCTAAGGGCTGGCTCAGTCAGCAGGAACACAGTGCGGGCAAGGCAGCTCAGCACAGGATTCTCCTGAAGTGTGGTTTGCATGAGAGGCTCCTGTTTAGCCATAACTGGTGGGATCTTTATAAATTTGAGCCCAATCAGACACCAGGAGCCCTCTTAACAGGTACCTTCATTCTCGGAGTCAAAGTAGAAACTAATAAATGAAGTGCACTAGCAAATATTTATACGAGAAAGTGGTAACTTGTTGGGCCAGTTTTTAGACATGTGAGGGCTCAACAGAAAGCCAGATGATTAGATTTGCTTTGTACACACAAGACAGACTAAGACCTCACAGGGTCACAGGGCAGAGAAGGAACTCAAAGACAGGACAGCCGCCAACACCGACAGTGCTTAGGGAGGCGGGGAGCTCGCCCTGCCTGGAGGAGTGCACGTAGGGGAGATGACCACGCTAGGAGGGCTCCCCAGCAGGCGCGGGACCCACACACACCTAAGTACTGTCTGCCCCTGAGCAGGGGCTCATGTGCGGGAGACCCTGCAGGAGCCCACGGGCTGCATCCGAAGGCACTCAGCACCCTGTTGACCCCAGTTCTTTCATCCAGTGCTCCCTATGCTGGTATTCCACGGAACTGCCAGCAGAGGAGATGTGACAATGGGTGCCGTGACCAAACGTGGGAAATCTGTGTTCTCTATCCCCATTCTGGAGGTTTCGAGAGACACAAGCACATTATAGACTCTGAGAGGTTCTGAGTGTAAGGCCTCTGGATCCAGATGAGCCCCTGGAGCGAGCTGCTAGCAACAATCAGGAAACCCTGCTGCCCAGAACTTACCACCCAGTCCTTCTAGATGTGAGGACAGTGGGCGTGAAGAAAATTCCTTTGGCAACACCCAATGCCTGGGCCTGACCACACAGCCTGTTAGGCTACCCTCATGGTAAGGAAGTTAACTCAGTTGCCAAGTGGCTGCTCTAACTGGAAAGTGTGATTTGTGGAAGTTGCTGGCACGTTGGGAGCCTCCGTGAAGCGTGGAAGTCCTTTCTCCCAAGCCTTCCTCTCCACTCCCAGAACAAAGACAGCTCTGTACACTAGTGTGACAGAAGCTTCCAGGCTCCTCATCATGTCACGGCTGCTTCTACAACCACCTGGGTTCTGAGGAAAGGCACGTTCACGACCCGGGAGGAGGGAAGTGATTTAAGGGCAAGCGCTCACGTACCAGCCAACTTGCTCCCAACACCTCCGCTTGCTGGCCTCATAGGTGAGCACGGCGTCCCACAGGTCGATGTCGGGGGTCATGCCCGGTTCAGACTGGGAATCAGGAGTCAAGTTGGATGCTGACTGGAACCCTTCATCTTCTGACTGATCCACACTCTGAGGAACCTGGAGACCAGAGGAAAGAAGGAAACACCACGTACATCTTTGGTCTAACCTTCACCCAGTGTGATCAGCATTCCAGGACTTTCCCACACATTTCCACTTACTCATATGAGAAAGACCTAGCAGAACGTTTCTTCCATTTTTCTGAAGCATGTGTGTACTACACAGTTTTTGCCTCCATTAAACCACTTAAAGAAATTAGACAAATTAATTTATTAAGGTATCAATTCCAATTTCACACTACACATAAGCCTCCATAGAACTTACAATGCAATTCTTCATGAAATGCCTCCAATCTGGAAATTCCATTTTGGGGAATGCTGCATAAAAATCATACTAGAGGCAGAAAAATGTACGTAGACCAAGATGTTCACTATAGCATCACCTATGTCTGGGGATAACCTCAATACCCCTTAGTAAGGAAGTGACCAATGACAGCACACCCATTCAGCAGTACGTATAAAACCACCAAGTCCAAGTCCAGTGATGATTTTACCTGACGATGCAGGAAAACCCGTTACATGTGGAAAAGTATATAAAACTGCACAGTCTGAACAAATATTTTTTGCCACACATGACTAATGAACACTTGAAACGTGGCCTATGCGACGAGGAACTAAACTTATCTCATTTTAATTAAGTTTAGATGGCGATTCTAGAGGGCAGAGTAAGTGACTTAACACACGCCATGTCAGATGCAAGGCGAAAAGCAGCATGTTGGTTTGGCCGACCGGTGGGCAGCAGCGTCCTCGCCCAGGGAGGTGGGTGCCAGCAAGCCCACTCCAGCAGCCCCGCCTCAGCACAGCTCAGCCACCAGTGACCTGGACTCTAGCGCTACCCTACCTTTACCGCGACAGAAGGAAGGTCAAAGGAGGCATTTCCAAATGCCTCCGCAGCTGGAGGCAGGGCAGCAGAACTCTACCTTAATGGCCAGTCCAGACAGGTCCACGCTGTCCGGCACCGGGGGCAAGTCCAGCCTGACATCCATGTCGTACGTGCGGCTGTGCACCAGGGCTCCGAAGAGCGAGGCCCGGGTGTCTCTCTCAAACCTATCACCACAAGGGTCGCCATATGAGAAGAGCCCGACAGAGGGCAAGCCGGTGCCTGGTGCCGCCTCCATCACCTGAAGTGCTTTCTGGATCGTGTCCTGACATAAATACTCCTCTCTGGAAATCAGAGACTGAACGTCCATCTCAAACACACTCAGGTCATAGCAGTCGTAGCCGCTGTAGGGCACGTTTCTCCCAACGTGCTTGTTGTTGAAGAAGTAGTCCCGTTTGGGTGGCAGCACTTGAGGGGGCCCGCTCCCTGCCAGCTGGACCAGGAGGTCCAAAACCGACTGCACCTCCAGCAGCGGACAGCAGGGGGCTGCCTCGAGTTTCTCCACAAGCTCCTCCAGCCGGTCGGCCTCAGGGCCCAGGCCACAGACTCTCAAGTCGAAGGACAGCATGAGCATCTTGTTTTTCACGGGGACGTTCGCGAGGTCAGGCTGCAGCTTCTGGGTCTCCTCTCGAAAAAGTTTCGTGAAAAGAGCGTTGTAGGCCACCCTCTTGAGGGTCTGCTTTGCCTTCTTTCGGCTCACGCTGCGCTGGCCCAGGTGAGCCTTCGCAGCGGGCAGGAGGGCCTCGCACAGGTCGTCGAACAGCTGGGTGATGCTGGCCATGGCCCACCCCTTCTCGGCTCCGGGCCCTCAGCGCGCGGGGAAGCGTCTCACCGGGGCTGCACGCCGGCCTCTGAAGGCCAGGGCGCGGATCCCATAGGGCTGACGGGCAGGGGCCTCCTTAACCTACGCCTGGAGGCTCAGAACTTGTATTTTAACGGCAGTCTCGCGGTGGCTCTGCCCTCCAAGGCCCAGCCCACGCCCACCTCCACCCCGCGGCCCGCAGCAGCCTGCAGAGCGCCAGCTCGGCTCCTCTCCAGTTCCGTAGCCCTCAACCTTTAGGGGGTCACAGAACCGTGACAAACCGAAGGAGACGCGCGCGGGCAATACGCCGCGGACGGACCCGGCTTTGGACGCCTTCTCCGGGCCGCCTGAGAAGGGAGCGGGGGTGCCCGGCAGGGGGCGTGGGGGGGTCAGGCCGGCTCAGCCGCCGGCTCACCCGGCCTCGTCCAGAGAAGAGTGCGCCGCAGCGGCTCCCGCCGCCGTTGCGTCACTGCCACGCGACCCGCAAAAACCTCTGCAGCCGGCGCGCCGGAATTGCGTCACCGGGGAGGCTGTCGGCCCGCTTGGAGGGGGCAAGAGTGGGGTGGGTCGAGCAGGGGCGGGGCCTAGTGGCCGCCGTCCGTAGAGCACTTCCGGCTTCCGGCTTGGAGCCGCGTTCCGTCGGGTGGGGAAACAGGTCCGACGCCCGGGCTCAATGACGGAGGCGGAGTCAGACTTTCGCTTAGCCGTTTACTGATTGGAGTGGAGGGAGACTGGGCGGGGCCTTCCGTGAAGAGCCCGGTGCGCAGGGGAGCGCCAGGTCCCTGCAGTGGACGCTGCCTCTGCGCCAGTGCCCTGGGCACCCCGTGGCCTGGGCATCAGGACAGAGGCCTCAGGCAGTGGTGTGCTGGTGAATGTTTAACAACAGACTCTTGGGAGACTGGTTCGTAGTGTCATTTCCAGGGATAAATCCTCCCGCCTTAGCTGATTTCCAGCAACCAGGTTACAGCAGTCAAGCGGAAGCTGGGACGAGGCACACAATCAGCTTGGCACTGCTATGAGCTGGTTCAGGGCAGCACCCCACTCCCCAAGACGTGAGCCCCTCTCCCCCTGGAGCTCCAGGGCAGGACCGTCACCCATGGCCCCAAGCATTCATTCTGAGTCTTGTCCCCCAGTCTCACCGGCCACCTGCAGCATCTTCCACTGTGGCTCCAGCAGCCCTCTCAGGTACATCAGGGCCTGTGTGTCCTCTGGGGAGGCCATAGAGAAGGGGCCCAGGCTGGGGGGTGCCTCCCCACACAGCACCCGGGCCAGGACTCCTGCGAGCTGTGGTGTGGACTCCTGGGCCAGGGGCAGAGATGAAAGCAGCAAGTCACTGGTCTCTCCCGACCTCCCACCCCACAGCATGTCCACCCTGCCTAACTCACCACGTCCACAAGGGCCAAGACTCGGCCCCCTGCTGGCACCCGCAGCAGTGCGGCCAGGAGTGCAGCTTGGGGGTCCTGCAGGCCGTGAGCTGGCCCCAGTGCCAGCAGCACCAGGTCAGGCTGGAAGCCATAGGCCAGGGGCAGCACCAGCGCCAGGACACAGTTCAGGAATCCACCAGTTGTCTGTGGGAGGGACAGCAGCATAGCCCCAGCCCCTCGCCCAGGGGATACCCCGCCTGCCAGTCTTGGGTGGGCAGCCACACCACCAGTCCCATCAGGAGGCCAAGAGGGCGGGTGAAGGCCGGGGGCCTGGCCCTCGTGATGATGCCAGTGAGCAGCCACTGCCCAGCCCTGTGACACTATCACTCACCTCTGGCAGTGGCACTGACACGTAGAACGTGGACAGAGCAGCCGCCTCCTTGCCCCCGATGTTCAGCCACAGATTCCTCCTTCCAGGGGAGAGTGAGCACATGGACACATGTCCACTCACCCTCCCGAGCCCACAACAGAGGGGAGCTGCACGAGAGCTCGGGTAGGGGTGCTGGGAGTGCTGACTCTCTGTGCTGGAGACCCTCCTGGCATTGCTCCTCCAGGGCCCCTCGACCTGCCCACCCATCACCTCTGGGAACCCAGAGCGATGTGCCCAGCCACGTGCAGGACTGGACATACATGTGACCCGAGTCATACCCATCATCAGCAAGGTCTGAGGGCCGGTCCAGTTGTCCCACGGCCACACACAGCAGCCTAAAGGAAGAGTCGGCCCCAGGACAGGCTGCACTCATGCCCCTGGAGTCCATTCCCAGAGCCCTCCCCAGGTGGCCAGCCAGGACAGGGGTGCCCATGGGCCATGCCCTCGGAGGCTCAGGCCAGCCAGTCTAGGCTTACCTCTGGGCTCCCTGAGACAGTCCACGCCGAACGGCCACATCCAGGGTGGCAGCTGTAGCAGGGGCCGGGGTAGCTGCGATGCCACTGCTCATCTGAGGGGTGAATAAGAGCAGTGGAGGGCAACCCCCAAACCAGGTACAACCATCAGTCCCTTCTTTTGGTCCCTGTCTCAATGGCTGTCGTTTGTACACTCAAATTGCTCCACTTCTGAAAATAAGATGCTCACCACTGTTTTCCCCTCTCTGTCAAAGAGCATTTAGTTGAGGGGCCTGATTGGGTACTTGTGACCTTGTCCCTGGGGCTGTTCTGGGAAAGGTCCTGGGCACAAGGTGACATTCATGTCCACGTGGTTATGTACCGCCCAGCCCTCCCCTGGACAGGCCACCAGTCATGGGCAGGTCCTGGGCTGTGCCCCCAGCTCCACAGCCACCCCAGCCCTTCCCAGGTGCCCCTACCTGCCCATCCAGGATCCCATCCAAGAGGTACAGGACCTTCCCAAGTGCAGTGAGGGCCTCGTCCTTGGCCAGGGCCTCGTGTAGCCTGTGGTGGGCAAACCAGTGGGACACATGGCCACAGGGTGACACAGACCACAGGTGAGTCACACAAGGGCACATGGTGAACACAGCCCCACCCCTCTCCCCAGCCCATTCTGCCCACTTGGCCCAGGCCTGCGTCTCCTCCTGCGGGGCTGACCCCTCCTCACGGAGGACCTCAGGGGGCAGGACCAGGCCAGCACCCAGCGAAGTCAGGGCAACAGCTGTGCGGACAGGGGGCGTGGGCCGGAGGTGCAGCTGGTCCAGGAGGGAGCTCAGTGCCGCCGCGGCCTGGGTTGCTGCAGTCTTGAGTTCAGAACCCCCAGTCAGCAGACTCAAGGGTTTCCCCTCTGGGGAGTGGGTGCTGGGACTCGGGATGGGGGCCGGGCCTAGGAGTGGTTCAAAGTCACAGCCACTGTGCAGCAGCCCAAAGTG